CTTCCAGTACTGGAGACCAAGTGACCTCAACTTGCCTGCTGCTATTTACCAGAGATTCCTGGTGATTGGGTAAAAGGAGTCCAATAAGGAGCTGTGAAAAAAAGAGTGGCGTGGCGAAAGGTCAAAGTTTGAGGCTTAGCCACGCCCACACCTTTATACTTATTTAAAATCCGACGGTTGAATTTTTTCCTCTATGTCTTAAGACTATATAGCAGAAGTTTGAAAGTGATTGGTGAAAAGGGCGACGGAGTATCACTCTCCAAACAACGTGTGTGAAAACCACTAAATCGCGCACTTGGACCAAAATGGCCGACTTCCTGTGCGACTTTGCACTTGGCTTCAAGAGACTTTTTTGTAGGTCCTGAGACACCACATTAGTGTACCAAATTTCGTAATCCTCAGTCAAAGCATGGCTTGGGGCTGACAGTTTTAATGGTCCTAGGGGGCGCTATTTCAGAAAATAGGCCACGCCCACCAGATGTTCACATCAGATCTTTTGGGGGGCCTGACTAGGATCACTCACAAGAAGTTTCGTGACGATATCTTTGGAAATGACGAAATGGGAGGCAAACGTAAGGCCAAGGCGGTACGCCTGAATTCGCCGCGCCGCCACAGCCCCGCCCTCTGCCGAAAACTCCCATAAAGTGACGCCAAGCAACCCCCACTTGTCTTGAGTTACCAGCTACAAATTTGTGGTGATTAAGTGAAATGGGGCAATTTGGGACCTTTCACAGTAAAACTTGATCTTTTTGGTCCTGAGGGGGCGGGGCTTGTGTGATGTCATCATCCGACCATTCAGTTTACTTTGGGGGTGGATGACGAATGACCACAGAAAGTTTGGTAACTCTATTCCATTCAGTTATGAAGTTATAGCAATTTAAATATTTTTGGCGAGTAGTCAAACTTCGAGGCCTGGCTCCGCCCCTTCAACATATACGAAAACTCAGAATCCTTATCTCATTTTGTTCGCCCATCCCTTCTGAGCAATTTTACACAATTTTTGAGACGATCGTGCGAAAAATGATCGAGCAATCCAATCAGAAACGGACCCTAAAAACGGCAAAAACGGCAAAAAATCGCCATTTCAACCCAAAATGGCCGACTTCCTGTTTGATATTGACCATGGTTGCAAGAGACTTTTCTGTGCGGACTGTTGAGTACTACAAGTGTACCAAATTTCATAACTGTACGATAAACTAAGCTTTATGGAGAGGGGTTTTTTTCACTTTGTAGGGGGCGCTGTTCAGCCATTTTCTTTGCGATTTTTTTGGGACCTTTAAAATATCAAATTTTTCACCAGGCCTGACAAGTGTGCAAAATATTGTGAGTTTTGGGGTATGTTAAGGTCCCCAAAAAGCTGTTCAAAGGGGGCACGGAATAACAAAAAATAATAATAATTAAAGCTGCAAGCAGCGTCGTTCGGCCCTCGCAGCTCCGCGCCGCTCCGGCCTGGCCGGCAGCCCGGGGCACCAGGGCACGTCCGCAGAACACAAACGTCGACCACCCCAACACCAGAAACTGCTAACGGCCACCTTGTCCGCAACTCACCCTGACTCAGCATCCCCTTTGAGCCCACCATTATATTTTATGTCTCACCACTAGGGAATCCTCTATCTTTACCACACTGGTGGTGTGATGACAGTGACCAACTTTAATGCTATTCTGACCATGTTTTTTAAAGTTATCGAAGGATAACGTTATCTAGGTGGCGCTGTGACCAACTACAGAAAAGTCCCATTGAGGTCAGCTTTGGTGACATTATATAACATTCACCAACCGTTTGTGCCTCATTGGCTAAAGGGCATGATTGTTCATTGCCATATTCAGTTTCGGGCAAATCGGAGGCCGTTTGTGGAAGTTACAGTCAAATGTAAGGTCATGGCGTCACGCCAGCATTCACCATGGCATCAAAGCCCCTCCCTTTCTGGAAAGCTATCAGATCTGAATGGTCTTTAAAACATCATGAAGACACTGTATGACCTGAGTGTCATTTTCATTAAATTAGAGGGGACAAATATGGGCATTTCACCATAAAACAATAGACTTCCTGTTGTCAGGGGGCGGGGCTTAGGTGATGTCAGCTGTCCACATTGTCGTTGTCTTGAGATGTGGTCAGTGGTCACACAGACAAAGTTTGAATTAGATCTGATCATGCACATGGGAGTTATTAAGTCAAGTAATGTCATGGCGAAAGGTCAAAGTTTGAGGCTTAGCCACGCCCACACCTTTATACTTATTTAAAATCCGACGGTTGAATTTTTTCCCCTTTGACTTAAAAGTACATAGCATAAGTTTGAAGGTGATCGGTGTAAAGGGCAACAGCCCATCAATGTCCAAACAACGTGTGCGAAAACCACTAAATCGAGTACTTGGACCAAAATGGCCGACCTCCTGTGCGAAATTGCGCTTGGCTCCAAGAGACTTTTTTGTAGGGCCAGAGACCCTACATGAGTGTACCAATTTTCGTAATCCTCAGTCAAACCTTGTCTTGGGGCTGACAGTTTTAATGGTCCTAGGGGGCGCTATTTCAGAATATAGGCCACGCCCACAAATCTCAGATGCCCATTTCTATTGGGGGTCGGACTAGGATCACTCACCAGACATTTTGTGGCGATGTCACGATAATTGAAGAAATGAGAGGCAAACGTATTGCCATGGCGTGATGGCGAATTTCGCCATGCTCCCAAAGCCCCGCCTTTTTTCAAAACCTGCCAGTACTGTAGACCAAGTGACCTCAACTTGTCAGCTGCTATTTACCAGAGATTCCAGGTGATTGGGTAAAAGGAGTCCAATAGGGAGCTGTGAAAAAAAGAGTGGCGTGGCGAAAGGTCAAAGTTTGAGGCTTAGCCACGCCCACACCTTTATACTTATTTAAAATCCGACGGTTGAATTTTTTCCTCTATGTCTTAAGAGTATATAGCAGAAGCTCGAAGGCGATTGGTGAAAAGGGCGACGGAGCATCACTCTCCAAACAACGTGTGTGAAAACCACTAAATCGAGTACTTGGACCAAAATGGCTGACTTCCTGTGCGACTTTGCACTTGGCTCCAAGAGACTTTTTTGTAGGTCCTGAGACACCACATTAGTGTACCAAATTTCGTAATCCTCAGTCAAAGCATGGCTTGGGGCTGACAGTTTTAATGGTCCTAGGGGGCGCTAATACAGAAAATAGGCCACGCCCACAAACTTAAGCTGACCTTTTCTATTGGGGGTCAGACTAGGATCACTCACAACAATGGTCGAGGTGATATCACGATAAATGAAGAAATGAGAGGCAAACGTATTTCCATGGCGTGATGGCGAATTTCGCCATGCTCCCAAAGCCCCGCCTTTTTTCAAAACCTTCCAGTACTGGAGACCAAGTGACCTCAACTTGCCTGCTGCTATTTACCAGAGATTCCTGGTGATTGGGTAAAAGGAGTCCAATAAGGAGCTGTGAAAAAAAGAGTGGCGTGGCGAAAGGTCAAAGTTTGAGGCTTAGCCACGCCCACACCTTTATACTTATTTAAAATCCGACGGTTTAATTTTTTCCTCTATGTCTTAAGACTATATAGCAGAAGTTTGAAAGTGATTGGTGAAAAGGGCGACGGAGTATCACTCTCCAAACAACGTGTGTGAAAACCACTAAATCGCGCACTTGGACCAAAATGGCCGACTTCCTGTGCGACTTTGCACTTGGCTTCAAGAGACTTTTTTGTAGGTCCTGAGACACCACATTAGTGTACCAAATTTCGTAATCCTCAGTCAAAGCATGGCTTGGGGCTGACAGTTGTAATGGTCCTAGGGGGCGCTATTTCAGAAAATAGGCCACGCCCACCAGATGTTCACATCAGATCTTTTGGGGGGCCGGACTAGGATCACTCACAAGAAGTTTCGTGACGATATCTTTGGAAATGACGAAATGGGAGGCAAACGTAAGGCCACGGCGGTACGCCTGAATTCGCCGCGCCGCCACAGCCCCGCCCTCTGCCGAAAACTCCCATAAAGTGACGCCAAGCAACCCCCACTTGTCTTGAGTTACCAGCTACAAATTTGTGGTGATTAAGTGTAATGGGGCAATTTGGGACCTTTCACAGTAAAACTTGACCTTTTTGCTCCTGAGGGGGCGGGGCTTGTGTGATGTCATCATCCGACCACTCAATTTCCTTTGTCGGCCAATGACGAATGACCACAGCACTTTTTGTAACTCTGTTACATTCAGTTATGAAGTTATAACAATTTATATTTTTTTGGCGAGTAGTCAAACTTTGAGGCCTGGCCCCGCCCCTTCAACATATACGAAAAGTCAGAATCCTTGTCTCATTTTGTTCACCCATCCCTTCTGAGCAATTTTACACAAGTTTTGAGTCGATCGTGCGAAAAATGATCGAGCAATCCAATCAGAAACGGACCCTAAAAACGGCAAAAACGGCTAAAAATCGCCATTTCAACCCAAAATGGCCGACTTCCTGTTTGATATTGACCATAACTGCAAGAGACTTTTCTGTGCGGACTGTTGAGTACTACAAGTGTCCCAAATTTCATAACTGTACGACAAACTAAGCTTTATGGAGAGGGTTTTTTTTCACTTTCTAGGGGGCGCTGTTCAGCCATTTTCTTTGCGATTTTTTTGGGACCTTTAAAATATCAAATTTTTCACCAGGCCTGACAAGTGTGCAAAATATTGTGAGTTTTGGGGTATGATAAGGTCCCCAAAAAGCCGTTCAAAGCGGGCTAAGAATAATAAATAAAAATAAACAGAGCAAAAACAAGAGGCCTTCGCAGCGCTTTCGCTGCTCGGGCCTAATAATAAACAGAGCAAAAACAAGAGGCCTTCGCAGCGCTTTGCTGCTCGGGCCTAATTATAGTATATAATATATATATGTATATTATATACTTATAAGTATATACATATATATGTATATACATACATATATATGTATATATGTATGGATATATGTATGTATAAATATATATATATGTGTGGGTGTGTGTGTGTGTGGGTAATGTGCTCTATCAACAGCAGCTGTTTGCAATCTATTGGTGTAGGCCTGTTTTACCAGAGTATTTATCCCCGACGGAATGGGTTGGGAGCGCACACCGAGCCGGAAGCTCAAATCCAGCGACCGAGCCACGATACTGTGGATAGACGTGGAATTATGTTTTAATTTAGTTATACGAAATAGATGGGTTTCGTTACTTTATTGTTCAGTCTGTGGTGACGACATGTATTTGGTTTCACCAAACCGGGAACTTTCCAAAAAAGGACTAAAAAGCATTACAACGGTTCTATCCGGAGACTTTAGTGGCGCACACATCTCATCTCCAGCTGCCCCAGTGCTGTAAGGATAAAATGGATGGACTCCACACACCATCATCTCACCAAGGTACGCTTTTTTTTTGTCACTTGTTCCACCCGTGACTCTTCATGTAGAGGTTAAGAACTATGTCAAGCTAACTCGCAGGCAGCAACAGTTAGCAGTAGCTAACGTTAGCTAACTCATGTACATGCTTACAAATTGTCTTGTAATCTTCCACATGTAAATAGCTGAGTAATCTTTAATTCGGGTAACCTTGCCAGGATTCAATTCAAGTTTATTTATATAGCGCCAAATCACGACAAGAGTCGTCTCAAGGCACTTCACATAATACACATTCCAATTCAGGTCAGTTCATTAAGCCAATCAGAAATAATGTTTCCTATATAAGGAACCCAGCAAATTGCTGTAAAGTTACAGCAATCCTCATACTAAGCAAGCATAAAGCGACAGTGGAGAGGAATACTCCCTTTAACAGGAAGAAACCTCCAGGGAATCCTGGCTCAGTACAAGCAGCCATCCTCCACGACTCACTGGGGATCGAGAAGACAGAGCCGACACACACACACACACACACACACACACACACACACACACACACACACACACACACACACACACACACACAGTGTTGGGCAAGTTACTTCAAAACTGTAATGCATTATTTATTGTTACCCTCATTTTAAAGTAATTCATTACATTACAATATTACTGATTTTAAAATGTAAGGCATTACACTACTTTTGCATTATTTTAAGTTACTTTCACCAAAACAACTTCAATATGAATCTGGTAATGTGACGCTCAGTGAGCTCATGACATATATGTGGAAAGTGATGTGGTGTCTGAGCTAGGATTGCTGTTAAAAACAGTCAGATATAATAACAGTGCTTTAAAATGATTGTTTATTAAATGAAAGCAACAACAATCTGTTCTCTCAGCACGCTGCCATCTTATATTAACTGCACAGGGAGTGAGGTGGTGGGGGCTCCAAGCCTATATTTGCCTTGGTCCCCAAATGCCTTGATACGGCCCTGGATGTGGGACTGACTTCTGGGTTGATCTGATTCTATCACATGTATAAATATTAAATGCTTCTATATTATTGCTTTTCACTGGTAAAAATGTGTATTAGGGATAAATCTACCTACTTTTTTTTCTTGGTTTTATGTGAATAATTTCCTGCCCTTTCTCTCTCTAACCTTCCTGCATGCTGCATGTTTTCTCCGTCTTCCAGAAAAACTGTTTCCTAGACTTCCTACTTTCTATCAGCCAAAGGGATCTTCACATGCGCGGCGCTCCAGCAGTAATGAGTTGAAATCACCGGGGCACAGATTATGAACTCAGCTGAGTCAAAGCACGTCAGAAAAGCACAAAATACCAGAGAATATGCGCTGATATGAACGATCGCAAGTGAATTATTTTGTTTTAGTGGAGTGATTTTGTGAATGTTACAGCGGCCGCGTGCAGGACGCAGCTGGAGTATTTGAACCGTTACCGCGGCGTCCTCTCTGCCCGCAAAGCTGAGTCCATAAATGACGTAATATATGCAGATACTGGATCTTTCTTCGGGTTTCCCGCAATTTGAATTTTTAAGGAACGCATCTTGATTCTGGGTTTAAAAATGCATTGTAATTACCGCGTTACTGACAATTGTACCGAGTAAATATTACCATTTTCTTTCCCTGAAATGCCTTACATTACCACATTACAGCAAAAAGCAATGCATTACAGTAATTAATTACTTTTGTACCACATTACTCCCAACACTGCACACACACACAAAGTAATGTGTCTATAGTTATATTGTGATTTCTTAGTAAATATTCTATTTGGTGAGAGCTAAACTTTATTGTATTTATCCTAGTGGATCTACAATTAAACGGATAAACTAGTAGTAGCACATCCAACGTCAAGGAAAGCAAAATGTTGTTATCAGGAGAGGGAGAATGTTTAAGTGGTTAGCAGCAGTGTACTAGACGATGGCCCTCTCCATGAGGCCACCACAGCTCAGCAGAACATTGTAGCTTCTGGGGAGAAAAACACAGGACCGTTCATAATGAAGGTGGCAGAGGTAAGATGTTAGCATTTAGCATTGGTTCATGTCAGGTGAACAGAGACAGTAAACACATCTTTGATGAGACTGAGGTTAGCTTCTGATTCCAGCTTCCATTTTTAATCTGCTCTAACTCAAAAACCACATACTCTTCAAACCTTTACTGGATTATTCTACACTGATATCAGATCCCATTAAACATAGTTTGTGATTTGTGAAACCTCAAGGAAGCCAGATTTATGCAGGACCAGTTCCACTGTGGGCCAGATGCTAAGAAAATGCATAAATCTGGTTTTCTTGAAGTTTCACAAATCTCAACTATGTTTTATGCAATCTGCTATTAGTCTAGAATAATCAGTACAGCTTTGACGAGTGTGTGGTATAGAGAAAAATTGGGTGTAATTGCTCTTTACCCATTTCCCAAATCGAAAACTTACTTCATCCTCGTCTTTCTTCAGTAATGGCACTGCTTTACATAGACGTTGCCGTGGCAGCACGTTACGGCTGAAATCCCAGCACCACGCCTACAAGATCCCAAGTCATTTTTTTTGTGCTGTTTCCCGAAGAAGCAGCGGGAACTACTCTGTTGGTCCTTGTAATCGCAGCTGGCAGACGGTGAGGAAGGCAGGCAGTTACAGAAGTTACAGCATACGTTACTGAGTTCAAATTAGAAAGGTAGCAATGGATATAACGCTTTTGGGTTTACATGTTTCAATAGCATTAAGATAGATGAGTGCTGATGATCTTGGCAGGGTGTCCCCCTGTGCTCATTAGCCTGACGGCCCGCCAGGTTTTTCTTCCCCCGCCAGGCTAAGCGTCATTTATTTATTGTGGCAGAACTCGGGTGGTCTTATAACCTGCCGATGCCAAATATGGCAATTGTATCTACTCGAATACAATTACTACCGACAACGCCACCTTGGGAATTTTGCCCAAGGAAAATAGCAAGGCACTTAGATCAGTTTCCCTTTAGTGAGACAGGAGATATGGTTTCAACAATCACAATCCATTTATTGTTTAAACAAAGAAAAGGTCAGTAATAAAATCACTCCTTTATTAGTTAAACCAGCCATAAAAAATATCCGTTACTAAAATCACTCGGTTCTATATAAGAAAACACTAAAATGAGATGATCAAATTTGTTAAAACCAGCAAATCAAGAGAATGATAACAGGAATCAATTTAACCTTCAAATTACTCACTTCCCCCTCCCCTCAGTTCCAGGGTAAGTAATGCAAAAAGGTTAAACAACAAGAAAAATAGCAGACTGAGGCAAGTGAGGGAGGCAGGGGAGTCACGGAGGCAGAGAAATCCCAACAAAATAAAAAAAACAAAGAAAATATACTGACTTCACCCAAAGTAAGTGCAGAGCGCTGATCGTTGGTGTGCCCGCTTTATCCGGCGCACGATACATTCTCAAGGTGGTGCAACGAAACATTAACACATGATCGTTCATATCTGTTCATATCCTCTGCTACTGTCTTTTAATCGTTCCTAATGCGCTCCGCTCATCGTGTGCTGCGGTGATTTCACCTCACTGACGCAGCATCGAAACGTCCACTCCGCTTTGCAGTCAGGAGATCCCTTTGATCTGCTCAGAAGTAACTGATGAGGTGAAAAAGTAAGAATCCAGGCAGCAGTTTTTTCTGGAGAGTTTAGAGGAGATGCAAGAAGATGAGACAGACAGGACAGGAAAATGGTTCAATAAAAACAAGAAAACGAAAGTGTTGAATGTAAAATGTAGTGAGTATGTCCGGAGGGACGAGGACATATGGTCAGCCTACAATAGCATCAACCATAGATGTGTATCAACTAGCGAGAAAAGCAATTTTTGATTTTCTATTTCTGCAGGGGTTTTAGCGCTTTTCGGTGCACCGCTGCTGATACAGCGCCTCTGTAGTGGTGCAACCATCGACATTAATATACGGGCACAACGCTGCAACTGCAGTTAAAATAACATCCATATAGCTGGGGGCAGAGTGAAATCAGGCTGGGGTGGCACAAAAATAGCTGGAGGCGGCCGACACTCAAATTTGAACGCAGGAAAAACCCTGGCCCTTCTAGAATCCTGGAACCCCCCAGGACACTTTACAACACAATCATTCACACTAGGGCTGCAACTAACGATTATTTTCATAATCGATTATGAAAATAAATCTGTCGATTATTTTTTCGATTAATCAGTTTGTTATTGTTTAGCTATTTAACCTCTACAAGTGATGAATACATTTCAGTTAAGAAAAAGAAAAACATAGGAGAATTGTGCAGTTGACTGCAATCGATTTTATTGCACATGAACACAGTCAGTGGTGTAAAATGAGTTAAACAGTGCAAAATATCAGTCCAGAATGATTTTTTGGCATCAAATATAAGAGGTAAATTCCATAAAAAATAATGTAGAATCTAGAATAGAGTTTGTAAGTGGTGTGCATTGCTGGGGGTGAGTGTCTTGTTCCCCATGTAGTTGTCCATCGTTGCTTGTTTTTTTCTGCATAAGAAACACAAATAGACTGAAATAAGTACAAATATAAAATAAAGCAGCACACACTACAACACTAAATCAATATTAAATTATTTGAATTAATTAACAATATACAGTGATCATTTATTTTGACAAATGTGTTGTGAGGCGTTTTACAGAGTTAGACAGTAAAACAGCCTTTTAATAGTAAAAAAAATTACTTTCTGAATTTCTCCTGTATTTAAAAATTGAAAGCGTACAACTATGCCGCGTTATATTCACCTGGACACAGCTCGTCTGTATATTTTTCTCCACTGAGTTGTCCTGTTTTGAATGAGGAACATAGTTATGGGTTTGTGCCGTTTTTCTCTTAACGAGAACATTCTTATAAACAGACGTGCTGAATTTGGCAAGCGCATGATTCACAACACGGAGGAGATTCACGATTGCATCTAGTCAATCAGAAGTAGAACACCGTAGACTGAAGCGGCAAAAAAAAACATGTTTAACATTCACTATAACGAACTCGGCTCCCAAATTTGATCTGCATTAGCTTGTTTATTTTCTGTTACTTACCGGATTTACCGGACTTTCCTCTGCTGCATCTGCCCCCACATGTTTTCGTCTCAAATGTTCACTTAGGGACGTCGTGCTTCCATGCCATGCTAGATGGTTTTTGCATATTTTGCAGGTCACCTGTCTTTTCATGGCATCTAGAGTGAAGTGCTCCCATACTCGTGAGGTTTTTATCCGGGGTTTCTCTTCAGTTTTGTCGCTTCTATTTTTCTTCCGTATTTCTTCTTGTTCCGCCATCTCTCACAGCAAGATGCGCGTCGTGAAAACCGAGGGTACTTATTGGCTCGTTTCTTCTTCTACGGCTCCACTGGTAGATCAGTGGCTCATTACTGCCACACACTGGCGGCAAATTTAACAGCTTGTAACCGATGTCAGATTGTGGTAAAAAATAGACTTTATGCGGTAAAATATGATTATTAAACAACTTATCGATGACTAAAAAAGTTGTTAACTCTTTTAATAATCGATTATAATCGATTAAATCGATTAGTTGTTTCAGCGCTAATTCACACCCTGGCGATGATGAGCTATATTTTAGCCACAGCTGCCCTGGGACACAGGCTGGGGGGTGGGGGGGTCTGCTGTACACAGATGCCACTGGTCCCTCCGAACACCACCAGCAGGCAAGGTAGGTTAAGCGTCTTGCCCAAGGACACGACAACAGTGAAAGACTGAACAGAGCTTGAACCTGCAACCTTCCGATTGCAGGGCGAGCAATTAACTAATGTACCACCGTCCCCCACATAGTGGAAGTTGCTTTCTAAATAAAGATGATGATGAATGTATTTCTCAGAAACAAATCTGTATTAGAACCAGTACTTGTTTTCTTAGTCAGTTCTAATTACACAAACTTCAAGAGCAAGACTACTTGGAAACTGTTTTATTCTTGTTTTTACCCAGTCAATTGCACATAGCATTGAAAAATAACCGCCCGGCACAGACTCGCCCATCTTGACTCGCAACGGGGGAGGCTGTGTTGATTTAGCATCCAGGAGAGAGCAGAGGACGTCTTATCGGCTAGTTGAAGCTGACCATTATCATTAGCAACTCCACAACATGGCAGAAGTCCTTCATGCTTGTGTTATTGGTGGACATTGAACATCAACATTGCAAAGCAAACTGATTCAATGGTAGAGTTGCTTTGCTCTTTGCCAATCAGAGGCAAGCAGTCCAAATGCCAAGGGAAAAAGTCCACATCCTGCTGTTTTCTACTCCTACTCACTTCTAGTGCCTGAAACATGGGGGTGTGGTTTATTTCCACTGAGATTATTTAACAAGGCATTCATTTATACTAGAGACCACCGCAAATGTGTTGAAAAAAAAACAAGTGAACTTGGTCTTTAAAGCAATAATACAACTGTTATATGTGAGAATATAAAGTTACATTGGTCAGTAATTCACATCATGTGCTTCTTTTCAATAGATGTTAGACAGATAATGCTGGTTAATGAAGAAGCTGCTGAAGAAAAGATGGCTGATGTGGACCAGCAGGACCCAGAACACCTCCACTTAAAGGAGGAACAGGAGGAACTCCGAGCCAGTCTGGAGAAAGAGCAGCTCCATTTGAAGGAGGAGACTGATGCTGCCAGGTTTCCATTCACTGCTTTTTCTATAAAAAGTGAAAATGATGAAGAGAAACTTCTGTTCTCACAGTTTAATCAGCATCAAATAGAAGACAGAGATGTCCCAACCAGCAGCTCGGCTGACCAGATGACAGCAGAAACGAGCAGGAACCCAGATTTTAACACTCATGAACAAAAATCAGATTCTTCACAGACTGAAGGTAGTGAAGATGATGAAGAGGATAAAGTTACGAACCTAGTCTCTGAGCTGTCAGACTCTGGGCCTGGAACTGGAGATGTAGACGATGACTGGAATGAGAGCAGGCCTTCTGAGTCAGATGTTAAGACGGTCAGCAAATCCTGTAGCTGTCCCAAGTGTGGAAAACAATTTCTCAATAAGTGGTCCCTCCAGAAACACGTGAGAGTGACGAGTCATTCAGCATCAAAGTCTTCAGGTTGTTTGGTTTATAAGGAATGTGTTGGATCAAAGGAACATGTAGACCCATGCAAGAAAGTCCAGACAGAACTAAACTCATTTAGTTGTGTTGACTGCGGTAAAAGATTTCGTACGAAATCTAATTTAAACTGTCACATTAATGTACATATAGGACATAAGCCTTTTGCTTGTGACATCTGTGGACACATGTTTAGCCTAAAGCAACATTTAAACACACACATGAGAGTCCACACAGGACAGAAGCCTTTTGCTTGTGAGCTCTGTGGACAAAGATTTCGCCAGAATCCCCATTTAAACAGACACATGAGATCTCACACAGGCCACAAGCCTTTTGCTTGCGACCTTTGTGGACACATGTTTAGCCTAAAGCAACACTTAAATACACACATGAGAGTCCACACAGGACAGAAGCCTTTTGCTTGTAACCTCTGTGAACAAAGGTTCAGCCTAAAGCATCATTTAAACATGCACATGAGAGTCCACACAGGGCAGAAGCCTTTTGCCTGTGAGCTGTGTGGACAAAGATTTCGTCATAAGGTAACTTTAAACATGCACATGAGAGTCCACACAGGACAGAAGCCTTTTGCCTGTGAGCTGTGTGGAAAAAAATTTCGTCATAAGGCAACTTTAAACATGCACATGAGAGTCCACACAGGACAGAAGCCTTTTTGCTGTGAGCTCTGCGGACAAAGATTTAGCTATAAGATTAGTTTAAATGGACACATGAGAGTCCACACCAAACCGAAGTAACTCATTAAACTACAAAAGTAACAAAAATTATCCTCGTAGTTTTCACATCCTAAATGTCAGTCTTTTACCCTTGGTAACAATCCTTTACTCTAAATCAGGGCCACATCTGGTCCACAGGCCACTTCTTTCTGGCTAGACAGCCACATATTGTGGCTCCCAAGCTGTAAATGTTTCACTATATCACCAACTCTCACTCCTGTTTTGTTCCGTGAGTTTAATGGCTGTTGCCATTTACAAAACAGCAAAATTCTAGAAAAGCGAGGACAAGTCATGCAGTTATTTGATAAGTAGATAACCACATTTAACTCTCAGATTTGAGTTCTTGGTAATTGAAAAAGTATCTTGAGATAACTTTAGAGCAGCCAATTTATTTTTAAATTTACCATTACCATTGTTAGCTCTAAATTAGCCTTGTTCACCCAATATTAGAGTGAAACAAAAGATGCAATGGCTTCTTAGGGTTGCAAGAAATAACATCTGGGCCACTCCTGTTAGTTTTTCTCAGTTGCTTTGATGCATTTCTCACAACAGAATTAAACTTTTCACACTCAGTTCAACCTCCACAACATGTAGTCGTTTTGGCACAACCTAGTGGCGGTTTCATGTTCATTTCAACCAAAGGCATATGCCTTTAGACATGAGTAAGTACAAATATCTTAAGAATGGTCACTTTGACTTGCTATTCATCACCATCACCTTTCTTTTATCACGTATGTCATGATTAACTATACTTGTACAGGCTGAATAGTCATTGTTCATACAACTAATAATCTTTTCATAGCTTGTGTCATTGCACTCAAAATTGTTGAACATCTTGTCAAACATTTTGCACACCCATTTTGATAATCCTATTTTTAAAGAGTTTTCATGAAAATTTCCATAAATGACTTTTCTCAGGTGAACCTTATCTTACACTAGAGAAAAGTGGCTTGTGAACTACGTGTGTGTTTGTGTGTACTGTAAACCAGTACACTGGATTGGAATGAGGTGCATATTGTATCTACAAAACTGCAGAACATGGAAGGTCAGTCTTGTGGAAGAGGTAGGCGGAGTCTCTGGAGACGGGGCCTCTGGAGGCAGGAGGGAAACACCTTGTTGGGTGGCTCCAGGCCAGGAGCGCAGGCCTTGGAACAGTCTGACCCCTGACCCACCGGAATGCTGGGGGTGGCGTCAGGACAAGCTGCAGCTCACCAGCAACACTGGCCTGGAGGAGACGGGAACCGCTCCCCATGACTTGGACCATCTCCTGGAGGACATCAAGCCAGGCAGGTGCCTTCAAACTGGGATTTGTCCTGCAGCTCTTCCCAGCTAAACCAGCCTACTGGACCCGCATCATAGGGCACGGTCACGGGAGAAGGTTTCTGCTGGTGGGGGTGTACTGCGCTGTGGTGACGTCCGGAGCTCCAACTGAGCTGGAGGTTCTGGCTGGAGCTCGGACTGAGCTGGAGGTTCTGGCTGGAGCTCGGACTGTGCTAGCGGGGACTGCTGGAGCTCGGACTGCGCTGGCGGTGCTGGGTGGCAGTTTCGACGTCGGAGCTGTGGTGTGGTTGGTCGATCCACCTGAGATGAATAAGTGGTGCTGACGAAACCCGCAGAGGATGTGGAGAAACTGCCCACTCGAGATGAGGAGGTGGCGCTGTTGGGACCAGGTGATGGATAGGTTGATCGGCTCATCAGCGGAGCTGAGTTAATGCTGACTGAACCAGCGGAGGATGGCATAGAGGAACAGCCCACCAGAGATGAGGAGGTGATGCTGTCTGAACCAGTTGGGCTTGTGGAGTGTCGACCCACCAGAGGAGAAGAGGTGGCGCCAACAGAATCAGAGGAGAAGGAGAGGCAGCCAGATCTGACTGTTTAGACAGTGGCCTGAAAGTAGTGTCATCTTAGGGTGGATGGAGATGAGAAGGTGGATTTGCCCGCCAGGAGCCAGTTGGTAGAGTGGATGGTGGTGAGTCTTGGCCAAACGTCTTCAGCAGATCACAGGAGAAAGTCCAGAATTTAACTGAGTCCATGGGGTGTAACTGAAAGTACTGTAAGCCCAATGCAGGGCATAACCACCCAGGCAGAGGACCATATAATAGAGTTTCTCATAATCTGTGAGTGATGGATCTGATTAACGGTGGACTCCCGTCTTTGATAAAGTTTTTGCAGGCGAATGGGTCTCCTCTGTACCTTTCTGAAAGCTGTTGGGTGATTGTGGTTGCTGGCTTTGGATGAACTGCTGGGTCCATGTTGGTCGGTTCCTTCTGACATGGTTAGGAGGTTGTTGTAGGACCCAAGTGCAGGAAATCCAGGAGGCAGCCAGGTAGGTTATACATTCAAATCTTAATAATAAACAGGGTGTGGAGCAGGATCAGGATAGACAAAAACATGAGTATCAGGCAAAAAACACAAACACAAGGAACCAACAGAAAACACTGATCTGAGCTGGGTTTAAATACCCTGGGGATGTAAGTGGAGACAAAGGGAGCAGGTACACAGATTACTGATGGGAATGACCAACAGGTGTGACTGGTTAAGCTGAGGATGGGACAAACATGGAATGGACTGGAGAGACAAGGGACACAGGACATGACAATCCTAGCTGGTTATCTTCTGGTCCCTCACTTATCAAATGTTCATAGAAACTATTCAATACATTCCATCCTACCAATTAAATTTAGAATGTGTGTATGAACAGTAAAAGTTCTGATTTATGAAACATGCGGTGGCCACGTATACACATGTTCTTCCGCAATCGAACATCGATAAATCCCAGCTGTGCGTACCCGTTTGCTTGTGTCCATTCACCATCATTTACTTATAAAAACGCCTTCAATTAATCAGATTTTGTCACACCATGTCCTCAGCTTTTGAGGGGAATCCCTGTGTTGCTCCCAAACAAACAGAACCAGAAACTTTATTGACAGTGAGATTGGGGCACTGGCTGCCGAAGTAGAAGAAAACGAAACCTGTTGTAGAGGCTGTAATTTTATTATTATAAATGCAGTTGGGACAGAGGAGAGGTCTATGTCAGAATTTGTTTTTTTAATGGTTCCACTTATAATTGTAGAGGAAAGAGGGTTTATTTAAATTTTATATTTAAGGAGTTTGAATGCATGCTCTGTTTGGAGTTCGTTTTGTTGTTTGGACATTTTGTTCTCTGCAGCTTCTTAGCTGTCATTCAGTCTGGTTACCTTGGCAATGCGTGTGTGTTTGGGGACACACGAGGATATTCTGGGGCTTCTTGTAGTTGTCAATAGTAGAGTATGGAATCTGGAATCTGATTGGTGTAGTTTGTCTGTCGCTCCACAAAGGGTCCAAAATCACAGCACACCTCCAGAAAGATCTCCTTCAGAAATCAGATCAAAGAGCTCACGAAAAACGCATTCTGTCAAAAGTACACTCTCTGACAAATCCTCCCAAAACACAAAATCAACCATACAATAGATTCCTGTAGATCACGTGTCTTTTTCAAGGTTATGTGAGGTATGCTGGACTTTGTCATAGCGGACAAAAATCCCTTCTGTGCATCCACAGTCCAGTTTTCTCTTGTTTGGTCTGCACATACAACACACAATGTCTGTAACCTAGATGGCTTGGAATTCTGCCCTGTCAACAAGAAAGAAGGTATCGGTTTCTCATCATATCTACAGTCTGGACTGCAGATGTCCACACATTCTCAATAAGCATACACCTTCTCATGAAAAGATCGTACGCCAGTTACGCTCTGCTGTATTATTTTAATCTGGGGACTACGGAGCTGAAGTTTCATATCTGATCCTGCTTGTTGAGTATTGCTTAACTGATCACTGTGGAGACCATGGACAGCTCCTTCAGAGGCAGACTGAGACATCCCAGACGTAAAACGGAACGCTACCGTTGGCCATTCATCCCCTCTGCAGTAAGGGTGTATAACTCCTCAGTTTAAGCTGTACTGGCATTATCTTGTTACATAATAACACCAATGCAATACTCAGTATGGGTTCAATTTTCATGCAATACCAGATTTACGTTGCATGTCTGTGTCTTTTGTAGTATGCTGCTTAGTGTTGGAACCCAAATTTTTTTCTTTTTCTTTCCGTGGTTTTTAGTGGTCGAAGGATACAATACTCGATTACTGCCTGTGTGTATATACATGTACCTTTGTTATAATTTTTCTTCAAATTGTTCTCTTAAGTGTTGCTGCTGCTGTAACAAGTGAATTTTCCCACTGTAGGATCAATAAAGTTCTATTCTAACTTCTACTTGCAAATTCTGACCTTATATCACCACATGGCATGCTTTAAGCAGAGAAAACATCTAAGGATATTGCAGAAACGACTAAAACTGGGTTCCGAACTGTCCCACGCATTATGACCCTGTTCCAGAGTGATAGTGCATCAGGGCAAGAAGAGAGGCAGATGAAGTGATGCACCCATCATGCCTAATGCCTACTGTACAAGCCTGTGGGGGCAGTGCTATGATCTGGGGTTGCTGCAGTTGGTCAGGTCTAGGTTCAGCAACAGGGGGTGCTCCAATATTGAGGTCAGCTGACTACCTGAATGACCAGGTTATTCCATCTTCCCTGATTGCACGGGCATTTTCCAAGATGACACTGCCGGGATTCATCAGGCTCAAATAGTGGTTCAGGGAGCATGAGACATCATTTTCACACATGGATTGTACCACCACTGAGTCTAGACCCCATTGAGAATCTTTGGGATGTGCTGGAGAAGGCTTTGTGCAGCAGTCAGACTCTACCAACATCAGTGGAAGATCTTGGTGAAACATTAATGTAACACTGGATGGAAATAAATCCTGTGACATTGCAGAAGCTTATTGAAACAATGACACAGCGAATCTGTGTTGTAACCAAAGCTAAAGGTGGAAATGAAAGTTACTCGAGAGAACTGGAGTAAAAGAAGTTCCCCTCTAAAAGGGTTGGTTGACCTTCTCGTTGTCCTTGCCACCTAATGAGTGTGATCGAGACCTATTTGCTCCTGTATAAACACATAGTCAAGTATTTTCTTTATGTTTATAACGTTTTAAAAAACCTGTCAAGAACTATTTCTGGGTGGTTGCTAAAAAAATAATTATATGATTGGATGAATAGCCCGAGAAGAGAACACATTTTTTAATGTAAATCTAATTTTTTATTCATTTCTCAATATTTGTTCTATTTACCATCAATTTACTTGTTAGTTTTAATGATTTGAAAAAGCAAATATCTCTTGTCTTTCCAAATTTCACATTAAACACCCGCAGGAACTAGTCTGATTTTAACATTTCACGTGACAGGTTTATCTAGAGCCCAGAATTTTCCTGATAAAAGGACAACTTTTTCACCCCATGCGGAACTATTTATGCAAGAACGGTGCTGTCCGGAGACTAGCTGCGCACAGCTCTCGTCTCCAGCTGTTCCCAATTGCGTCCCAGCGCTGCACAGTTAAGATGGATGGATTCCACACATCAGCATTTAACGAAGGTAAGCTATAATATTAGAGGGAAGATAGATTTTTTTACGCATTTTCTGTCACTTGTTGCACCCGTGACTCTGTTCATGTGGTGGTTTAGGACTACAGCAAGCTAACGCAGGCAACGACAGCTAACAGTTAGCAGTAGCTAACGTTAGCAAACTTCTGTACAAATGGTGATGTGATCTTCCACATGTAAATAGCGGAGTAATCTTTTATTCAGGTAACTTTGACAGGGTCGTGTATAATGCAGGCGGCAGAGGTAACATTTTAGCATTGTTTCATGTTAGCAGATGCAGAGAGAGACCGCGGTGAAGTTAGCTTGAAGTTGGACGTTGGATATTCGACAGACATTGGTTTACACGGTCAAGTCTTCATGCCGTGCGCTGCGGCACAGACAGCGGTAACCTCCGCTCCGAGTTCCGAGGACTCGCTAACGGGAAGGGTGGTTCGCTTAGGGACCGTCAACAAATTTGTAGTCCTTTGTAAACCAGTACATTTTTTTTTTAACTTCCAGAATAATTTCCTAAATGACTCAAAATTACTTCTGACTTGTGTCTTGTAAATGTAGTTTAGTAACACAACAGTTTTAACACATTTCACACAATCTGATCTTTTTTATTAGGATACTATTCCAAAATTAAGGGATTATTTTCAATAGATCATTGGTAAATCTGTCTAAATAGACAAAACCATTTCTCAATTTTGTTACTAAGCCAGATCAATGAGACACAGCAGTTTTTAACACCTTTAATACGATCTGATCTTTTTTATTAGGATTTTTATCAAAAATTACGGGTTTTTTTCACTAGCTCCTAGGTAAATTAGTCAAAAGACCCTAAACCATTTGTCAATAATGTTACTAAGCTAGGTCAATGCCACAGCAGTTTTTATCACATTTCATACAATTCAATCTTTTTTCATTAAAATTTTTAACAAAAATTAAGGGATTTATTTTTCAATAGCTCCTAGGTGAATTAATCAAATTACTAAAAAACATTTCTCAGTGTTGTTACTAAGCTAGACCAATAAGACACAGCTGTTGTTGTCACGTTTCACAAGATCTGATCATTTTTATTTGGATTTTTAATGATAATAGTGATTTCTTTCAATAGCTCCTAGGTTAATTGATGTTACTACTCAAAACCATTTCTCAATTATGTTACTAAGCTACACCAATGAGACACAGCCGTTTTTATCATATTTCACAAGATCTGATCTTTTTTTATTAGGATTTTCATGAAAAATTCTGATTTCTTTCAATACCAGTGTTTCCCTTACATAGGCGTAGCCGTGGCAGCCCACCACGGCTGAAATCCCAGCACCACGCCTACGAGATCCCAAGTTTTATTGATTTTTTTTTTGTGCCGTTTCCCGAAGAAGCAGCGGGAACTACTCTGTTGTTGTTTGTGATCACAGCCGGCAGGCAGCAAGGAGGAGGAGGCAGGGCAGGGTGGTTACAGCTAGGGATGAGCCGGATACTCATTTCAGACGCGTATCCAGTACAGATAAAGCATTTTTGACGAATATGAGCATGAAACGAGTAAAACTCGTAAATATCTGTAATCGTGCTGAAGGAAAATCCTTATTGGGTAACGGACTGTCTTCACACTCTGCGATTGGCCAGTCACATAGAGCTCCCGCCCCTCCCTACACAAAACTGCAGCCGGGAGCTCAGTCCGTCCGGCCCATCCACGCACACACACAGTAACAGATGTCTCTGTGATTGCTTCACTGTTGCTCACGTTTCTTCAGTACTCCCTACGTTTTCTTCAGCTCGCCTCTTTTTCGCTTGAATATTTAAAGTGGGCCTGGGAGGCAGGGGCGGCGTTAGGCCCGGCTACTTGGGCTGAAGCCCCGAATGTTTTATGAAAAGCCCCGGATCTCAAACGTGGAAGTAACGTGCAGTACCAAAGTCCAACAGAGAGGGAGCAGCTAGCAGTAGTTTGTATACAGCCTGCCTGAGCCTCCACCACTAAAGAAGCCCTTCAGCAGCCGATTTCTTCTGCAGTGCCTGGTTTCTTCCACACTCTGCCTGAAACGCATGTGTGAAGATGGACATAAGGACATTTTTTAGACCAAAAGTACAGCGACAGAACCCCAGCTTTGATGATACTGGTCTCAGGTTTGTGAGTATATTTGTCTTGTACCACATAATTTTTTATCTGAAGCTACACATTAAGCATATTCAGGGCAAAGTATTGTTCCTGTTAGTGTTTAGTGTGAGATGATAGCAAATATTCCCTTTCTTTCTCCAGCAACTTTACCTGATAAGCTAACTTTGGGCAAACCAGCAGCACAACAGATATTTTCAAATAAGACTCACAGACAAATATATGATGTTGACTCGTGCGTGTCACGTGTGTGTGTGTGTGTGTGTGTGTTAAGCCCAAGATCTTCCTCAGTCCTAAATCCGCCCCTGCTGGGCGGTATGGCAAAAATGTCATATCACAGTTTTTTTTTTATTATATCGGTTTTACGGTATTTGACGGGTTTTTTCACAAGGCCGTGATTACCCAGATTATTTTTATAAGAAAATAATTGCTGCACTAGATTGGCCTTAAATAGCCCGTTTTACCTTCATGTACAGAATACCAGTTTTTCCATGTCCAGTCACAGGTAGGTCAATGCAGAAACCCCCTCAAAGTACCCTTGTCAAAAGAAAGCGGTTGAGAAAAAACAACTAGAAAGATAAAATATTGCAGTCAAAATAAACTATTTTTATTGAACACATTTTGCATATAATCTGTGCAGTTAACCGTCTTTATGATTTAACATCCAACGTTATTGCGTTGGTTATCTCGACCCACCGCTTGCTTTTTTTATATACAGTCCCTTTAGCGAACACGTCTTTAATGGACGTCTGACTCTTGACTGCTACTAGCCGTTTTAGCCTTGGAGGTGGAGGGGGCAGATCGAAGCTTGACATGCCTGGTATTCCAAGACGTGTTTTCGGCTGAGGTGATGAAGCAAGTTGCTGGTTTTACCGCCGCCGGCTACCACCATTGCTCGACAGCATTTGCATATAATAGTTGTTTGCTCCACGTCCGAACTTTTAAACCCGAAATACCTCCAAACAACAGACGTGGCTTGTCATTTTGGAATAAGTTCTTCTGCGCTCGAAGTTTTGATGTCGCCGTGACAGCTCCCGCCAGCCGCCATTCTTGGTTTCACCACGCTGTGGTGTTTGTGTGTAGCAGTGAAATTAGTCCCTGCTGAAACATTTTCCTACTACGAACGTTCTGTACGTTGTTTAGGCCATTCACCGGCATAGCGGTATGTGAAAATTTCATATCATAACCAAAATAACACTGGTTTTTAGAATGAACCGGTATACCGCCAAGACTAATTTAAAGTTACTTTTTTCGTAACGTACGTGGTGCATTTGATAAGAGAGAGCTGAAAACGGCTCGGTCACTGCCTCTGCTGGTTATTTTTTGTATTTATATTAACTCTCTCTCTCTCTCTCTCTCACACACACACACACACACACACACACACACACACACAATCAACATTGTTGTGTTTAACTTTGTGGGGAAAATGCCAACATTAGGAAAAAATCAGTTTAATCAAATGAAAATAAAATGGTTCTAGTATTTCATATTTCCTAGTTCCTACTGCATGAGTTCAGATGTATTAATTCATGCACTTAAATATTAATGTTCTGATTTTACTGAAAAACTTGTTCTGTAATAGTTTCTTTACTATTGTGATCAAAAATATTTAATCTCTATTCTGAGGCTGCTCTGTAAATAGTTTTTAAATAAACAATACACATATCAACTTCTGATCAATCCATATCAATTTCAGACTTAAAACAATGTATTGATGTAAACCACACCCACTCATTTCCTAATAATAAATAAGAGGTGCATTCATCTGTGTATCTCCTTTGATCCGCATTAGTGATGTTTTCAGCACCAGAACAATGAAGCAAAGAAACTGATTCCTGAGTTTGTGTTAGTAATTTTATTTATTAGATGCATCTGACCTGTTCTATTTTTCTCTGAAATGAGATCAAACCAGTGCTTCTATGGGTTATCTCCTCTCTACACTAGAAAAATGTACTTTATTATAATGTTCACTGTAATGCATCTTGATGTTCTTCACAAATAAATTAAATCAAAGATATTGGTCAATAATGCCAAATATGTAAATTTGTGATGTTCAGTCATTTTTATACTGGCTTAAAAATACTTCATGAAGTCTACTAAGCAGGGGTGTAGAACGTGTTTAATAGGGCCAGCCCGGTAATGGTCTTGGACCAAAATAAAGGGGGCAGAAAGTCAAATAAAGGGGGGCAGAAGGAGATGTTTTTCCACATGCCAAGAAGAATTAAATGCCAAATCCCCCCTGCAAAGTGTGTCACTGAGAGTTCAGCTAACCACCGTCTGTGCCGCAGTGCACTGCTTGAAGAATTATCGCTGACCGTGTAAACCAACGTCTGTCGAATATCCAATGCCCAACTTCAAGCTAACTTCACCGCTGTCTTCTTTCTTCAGTAACAAAGAAGTTTATTAAACACTTCTGAAGTTATTTTAGCACCTTTAGGTCTGATACAAGTTTGGTTGTGGTTTCCAAAGAGTCCAGCAGATGGACTATTATAGACCACCATAACACACAACAACCCACCCAATCAGTGTTATATTTACTGTTCGTTAATGCACATCAGCTTTACTGTTTTCACATTTCAAAGACACAAGTGACTTGATAACAGCCGTTCTGAGCACCAGAAATGTTCCAATCCCGCGGAACGTCAAACAAGTCATCCACTGCATTTAATGAAGTGTGACGGGCTACGTGTTGTAATGTGGAGCTCACAGCGTTTCTGGTCGTTACACATTTTGGTGGTAGCTAGTGCTTAATGGGGTATTCTACAGTAGCTAAAAATAAAGTGATACAAATTACAGTTCTCTCCTCATCCACCTGGGGCTGACGCCAGAAGTGGGCAAGTTCTCACTGACTTCAATGTTAAAATGCCAATGTCACAGCAGAAATAAATAGAGGTGCTGAAAAAAATCGATTCAAGTCTGAATCGGGATTCTTATTCATAAAGATTCAGAATCGATTCCAAGAACTCAAATATTTATGTTACAGGTTTGAGATGCACTTTTTTGATGTTTGTTAGAGTCAGTACTCCGTTTACGTTTGTGGTCCCATAAATTGAGATGATTTATGTTTGAATCTGCTGATAAGAGGGCACTTGAATGTATTTTTTTCCATACTCAGAAATTTGAGATATTCTCATATTTATTTTCTAAGTTGATAAATGAGTACTCAGGATTACTCATGTAACTTGTTTCTACACATACTTGAAAAGTATTTGACCGTATTACTTTCAAAGCTACTGTTAGGTAACTACAGATTTGTTATATTTTACAAGGTAAGCATAAATAAATGTTGCCTTTTGGTCAAAAGATTGTTTCTGTTTACAGTTTTAGAATCACTTTATTTTATATTGTAAATTTGCATTTTTGGAGCACGACCAGTTTAAAGTCAAATAAAAATGTCCCACAGCTTTAACTGACTTGTACAACAAAGTAGTTCATCCTGGAGCTGACACTCTTTGTTAATTTCTGATAGTGAATCGAATGAAATTGAGATTCGAGAATCGGCACCCCAAGAATCGGAATCGAATCAAATCGTGAGTTGCTCTAAGATCCACATCCCTAGAAATAAACATGTTTATAGCCATGGATTTCACTTATGATGTCCGTGAATTTTAAAGACATATCACGATATGTATTTGAAAATTTGCGATAACGATATAACTGACGATATGACTGATGCGAGACAAAGTACTTTACAAATTCACAACATTTTTAGTGCAAAGAACCCACCAATATATTTTCAGTGAATCAGCAGTTTTTACGTGCATTAGGGTTGTCACGGTATGAAAATTTAACCTCACGGTTATTGTGACCAAAATTATCACGGTTTTCGGTATTATCGCGGTATTTTTTAAACGGTGTTGCATATGTTCAGAAAGCATTGATAGTCCTGTTCTACACAAACTGAAATAGTTCTGAAAAGGTTTAACAGTGTTTATTAAACCTAAAATAACACAAAGCCTTAGCAAAAGTGCAACTTTTCACAAGTAAAGGAACAAATAGCTTCTTTTTCTGGAACATGTTACAGTAGTCAGTGCAGGTTTAAATTATACAAATCCAAACATTCAAAACATAAACAATATGTAAACAAATCAAAGAAACACCACTTGTTTTCTCATATACTTGTTTTCTTCATTATCAAAATGAAAATCTAAAACTCCAGTCCACACTTGACTTGAGCACTGTACAAGTCAACCTTAAAAAACATGTATTTAAAATAAATAGCCACTTTAAACAAATGACTAAAATAACTACTACACTATGTAATCAAATCCAAATGTTCAAGTATAAATGGCATTGAATAAGTAAACAAATCAATGACAAGGAACTAATTGTATATTTCTCTTCATCATCAACAAATAAGATGCTTCATCCAGCAACAGGGTGTCCGTGACACGGTTTAAATGCTGGCAGAGGACGCTGCGGCTGCAGTATATAGTGACTCGTTGCATTCTCCCTCAACCAAAAGTCCTCACGTCATGCATTTAAGCTAAAATGCTAATGTTAGCTTACCTTGCACTGGCTGTAGAGACGTGGGTGATGGTCACGCAGATGTGCCGTTAGATTCGAAGTGTTGCTGCCTTCTGCAGACACTTGTTTCCTGCACGTTCTGCAAACGGGATAGCCGTCTTCTATTAACTGTCCCTCGGTATTTTTCAGAAATCCAAAATATGCCCATACTTCCGATTTAGTCTTCTTTGAGGGCTGATGGATGTCCTGGGCGCTGCCGTCGCCTCCTTCGGCCATTATTTCAGCTTCAAAGTTTTGGTGCCGTTGCAAACTAAAAAGTGCGTGTGCGCGCCGCGGGAACTTCAGCTGAAGCGACGGTGGCTGGTAAGGGTCACCGCGCTGAAACCGCGGCCACGGTAAACCCACCGAGATAATTTAGTTTTTTAAAAACTGGACGGTTATTTTTATTGTCAACTTTTTTACCGGGGTTTACCGCTATACCGGTTACCGTGACAACCCTAACGTGCATCAAAACTACATTAAAACGTTTGTGCAAATGGCCTGAAATATCTTCCTGAGCATAACCATGTGTAATATCTAATAACTTGAGTTGCTTTGCAACATAAAACTCTAACTCTTGGGTAAAAAAATAAATAAAATAACATGGATAAAGTGCCCTTTTCAAGTTTTAAGATTTTTTGTCGGAAACACAAACATGTTCACAGATGTGGGCTAAAGGGAGGATCGTTGACGAGTTACAACGTTTCCACCTGTACTGAACAACCTTTCAGATGCAGAGTTAGTTGCTGGGAAAGTTTACCGTGTGAACCTTCCACCACAAAAGAGGATCACACTCGCTGTCTGCTGGTGGACTATTCACATAACTGCTCAGTTCAGATAATAACCTTTCTGCAGTTACATCTGTCTTGCCACTAACAGGTCCCTTCAACAAGCTCCCAAGACCTTTTTTTTGGCTTTTTAGCAGCTCCCTGACTTGTTTGGTCTCCAGCAGATGTGGGAAGTGTTTCTGAAACACCTGTGGCTGTGCTACCCTGGTGTGACACAAGATGTTCTAGTTCACTCATGACCTGAACTTATTTGTTGAGTGCAACAGCCTTCACAACGTTGGCCCCGCCGTCTGTCATCACACATACCTGTTTTTCCTCCTGAAGATTCCACGAGCTGAGGAACTCTTTTAGGCCTTTGGCTATTTTTTTCCCCCGGTGTGGTCCTCTAGGAAAAAACTTGTTTCAAGGCACTTGTTTTGTAGCTTCCAGTTTTTGTACACGTAGTGTATTGTGAGGCTCATGTAGGGGTCTGATGTTCAGCTTGACCACATGTCCGTGGTGGACGCAAAAAACTCCATAGACGATAATGCATTTGACACCTCAGTACGAATCTCTTCATATAAAGCAGGCAAAGCGACATTAGAGAAGTATTTCTTGGTGGCAGCTTGTAGCGTGAATCAAAGGTTTTAAACATCTTTGTGAAACCTTCTTTTTCCATACTCTGAATGGGCATCATATCCCTGGCTAAACAATGCATCACCGCATTAGCTAGTTCTCCCCAGCGTTTGCTACTTTTGTCATAGGGGGGGGGGGGGGGGGGCAGCTATTTATAGCCACACTTGATTGTTTTTTGAGTCAGCTTCTTTGGTCTCACCACCACATTTGTTGTTTGTGTGCGTTAACAGCTTTGCTGTACTCCAAAAAGTGCTTTTGCTTCAAATGATGAATTAGGTTTGTGGTGTTTCCTCCCTTCGCCACAACGGCCCGCTTGCATGTTCTACAAAAAAATTGTGCTTTGTTGGGTATCTGACGGACGGAAACCGAATCAGTTCCGCACCACTGAAGTAACATCTTTTTTAAAAACAAATTCTGCTTCCTTCAACAAGCTGCTTTTGCCCTTCTCCTCCGCCGTCGCCATGCTTTTTCCGCCATGTGCGTATGAGCGTATGAAATCAAAGGCACTGTACAAGCGTGTTTTACCCATTCTGTCCTATCGCGATATTTCATTTCCTTATCATTGCCCAACATTGTACTGGTATTAGTGTGAAAGGTATGAAAGGTATTTGGATTTTGTGCACCAAGACGGCTGGTTCACATCCATAGACCTGAAGTACTTCCAAGTCTTAATAATTCTGAAACACTGCACTTCTCATTCAAAGGAGTTCAGGATCTTGGACCGGCGCTGAGCCCCGTTCCCAGTCAGGAAGAAGCCAGTCGCCGAGAGATCACAGACTGTCATCACGGTAGATAAACTTTATATTATTGGTCAGATGTTTAGAGTTCTGGAGATCTCTCCATGGCTCTGTTGGGTAGCAATCATCATATTCAGATGCTAATGTTAATCATTATGGTAACTGGCCTGTATCTGTATAGCGCCTTCTTAGGGTTCTACAACTCCCCAAGGCACTTCACAACACAATCAGTCTTTCACCCATCCACACACACATTCACACACTGGTGGTGATGAGCTACACTGTGGCCACAGCTGCCCTGGAGCGCACTGACAGAGGCGAGGCTGCAGAGCACTGACACCACCGGTCCCTCAATAATTATGTATGTATTATGAGCACACTCAAGATAATTCAAACACACGGCACGCTTTTGGTTATTAAATGATAAATGACCTGCACTTGTACAGCGCCTCTCAGAGTAAGGACTCCAAAGCGCTTTACACTACAGTGTATCATTCATCCATTCACACACACATTCACACACTGGTGGTGGTGAGCTACGATGTAGCCACAGCTGCCCTGGGGCGCACTGACAGAGGCGAGGCTGCAGAGCACAGGCGCCACCGCTCCCTCCGACCACCACCAGCAGGCAAGGTGGGTTAAGTGCCTTGCCCAAGGACACAACAGCAGAATTCTCTGTCCGGAGCCGGGATCGAACCTGCAACCTTCCGGTTACTGCTGTATAAGATTTATACCTGCACTACCCCTCCCCACTCACAGTGACAACACCCCCCTTATTGTCAGGGTAACAGTGGCAGGCCCTTTTTTTTTTTGTCCTAATTATAACAAACCAATATTGTCTCAATCCATAATGTCCAAATGAAACTACACACACATCTAGTACACAACTTACACACACACACACTTAGTTTAGTTGCGAACTCACCTGGAATGTGTGGAATTGAAACTCACATTAAACCTACATTTTAGATCACTTGAGTCTATCGACCAATATGAAAACCTTTATCGTGATGTGTGATCCTCATTGCCAGCTGTAATCTGAGTTTAAAATGCAGGCCAAACATAAAAATGGTCTTTTACCCCATTTCCTGCATTAGTTGTTGACAGAAAATAGACGGGGAAGTGTTAGGATTAGAAAAGCCAGTCAAGTAGCATTTAAAATCAACATCCACAGCCTTGCCTATCTTGGCTCGTGAGGGGGAAGGCTGTGTTGATCTAGCATCCAGGAGAGAGTAGAACACATCTCTGCTAGGAGAATCTAACCGTTAACATTAACACGGTAGAACACCTTCAAGCTTCTATTATTTGTGGAGACTCAAAATCCTGCAGTCTTCTACTCACCTCTACTCTGACTAATTTCTAGTTCCTGAAACTTATTTGATCTGGCTTTTACTGCAGGTTGACTTGGGTAGTTTTAACTGTTCTTGTTATCAGTTTTGTCCTTATTCTATCTTTTATTTTGACTTTTATCTATAGTTTGTCAGTATTACATGTATGTTTTTAGTAATTCTACTTTAAATTATCATTTTAATGACTGTTTAGCCATTTTTGTCGTCTTGTTCAGCACATTAGTGTTGCATGCACAACTGTAAATGTGCTATACAAATAAACCAGGAGCGAGATGTTTATTACCACAGAGACTGTTTGACAAGACCACTGCAAATGTGTTGAAAGAAACGAGTGAACTTGGTCTTTAAAGTAATAATACAACAGTATATGTGAAAATATAAAGTTACAGCGGTCCGTAATTCACATCATGTGTTTCTGTGTATTCTATAGATTTTCTACAGATAATGCTGGTTAAAGAAGAAGCTCCTGAAGGGAGTGCTGATGTGGAGCAGCAGTACCCAGACAACCTGCACATAAAGGAGGAGCAGCAGGAACTCTGGACCAGTCTGGAGGGAGAGCAGCTCCAGTTGAAGGAGGAGACTGATGCTGCCAGATTTCCATTCACAGATATTTCTATAAAGAGTGAGGATGATGAAGAGAAATTTCTGTTCTCACAGCTTCATCACCAACAAACAGAAGACCTAGATGTCCCAACTAGCAGCTCAGATGACCAGATGACAGCAGACACTGGTGGAAGAGCAGAAACAAGCAGGAACCTGGATCTAAACTCTCATGAACAGAAATCTGATTCTTCAGAGACTGAAGTTAGCGGAGATGAAGAAGAAGATGTGAATCTAGTCTTTGAGCAGTCAGACTGTGGGCTTGAATCTGGAGACATATACAAGGACTGGAATGAGACCAGGTCTTCTGAGTCAGATGTTAAGTCGGTCAACAAATCCTGTAGCTGCTCTGAGTGTGGTGAACAGTTTCTTAACGAGTTGTCTCTCCAGAAACACGTGAGAGTGACGAGTCATTTGGCAGGAAGGTATTCAGGCTGCTTGGTTAATAAGAAAAGTGTTGGAGTAAAGAAACACACTGACCAATGCAGGAAAGTCCAGACAAAACTAAAATCATTTAGTTGTGATGACTGTGGGAAAGGATTTGTTACAAAATACAATTTAAACAGACACATGAGTGTCCACACAGGACAAAAGCTTTTTGCTTGTGACCTCTGTGAACAAAAATTTAGCCGTGAGGATACTTTAAACTGTCACATGAGTGTCCACACAGGACAGAAGCCTTTTACATGTGAGCTGTGCGGAAAAAGATTTAGCCAAAGGACAACTTTAAACAGACACATGAGGGTCCACACAGGACAGAGACCTTTTGCTTGTGAGCTCTGTGGAAAAAGATTTAGCCAAAAGATATGTTTAAACAGACATATCAGAGTGCACACAGGACAGAAGCCTTTTGCTTGTGAGCTCTGTGGACAAAGGTTTAGAAGAAAAACATGTTTAAACAGACATATCATAGTGCACACAGGACAGAAGCCTTTTGCCTGTGATCTGTGTGGACAAAGATTTAGCCATAAGACAAGTTTAAACAGACATGTCTTAGTCCACACAGGACAAAAGCCTTTTGCCTGTGAGCTCTGTGGACAAAGATTTAGCCAAAAGACATGTTTAAACAGACATGTCTTAGTCCACACAGGACAAAAGCCTTTTGCCTGTGAGCTCTGTGGACAACGATTTGGCCTTAAGCAATATTTAATTGGTCACATGAGGGTCCACACAGGGCAGAAGCCCTTTGCCTGTAAACTTTGTAAACAACGATTTAGCCATATTATAAGTTTAATCAGACACACAAGAATTCACACAGGACAGAAACCTTTTGGTTGTGAGCTCTGTGGACAAAGATTTAGCCAAAAGCAACATTTAAACCGTCACATAAATGTCCACAAAGGACTGAAAGCTTTTGCTTGTAAGCTCTGTAAAAAAAGATTTAGCCGAAAAACATCTTTGAACAATCACATGCAAGTCCACACAACACAGACATGAGGGTCAACACAGGACCAAGGCCTTTTGCCTGTGAGCTATGATGAAGGTTTAGACAAAAGCAACATTTAAATAGTCAAATTAGAATCCACACAGGACGGAAAACTTCGCTTGAGTTTTATGGACAAAGTTTTAGCCATAAGACAAGTTTAAACAGTCAAACATGAGTAGCCACACATCACAAGGAACTCCTACAACTACTACCAAAAATGATCTTTGTAGTGTTTACATTCTAGATGTCAGTCTTGTACCCCTGGTGACAGGCCTTAACCCTATATAACATCTGGTCCATGAGCCACTTCTTTCTGACAGGAGAGCCATATATTGTTGCTCCAAAACTGTAAATGTTTATTTTATTTTATTTATTTATTTACTAAATAATTAAGGATGTGTCTTGGTGAAATTCTGGCCATACAATGCGTATTACGATACAGGGGAAACGATGCAATATATCACGATGTATTGCGATACATTCAGTCAGACGATATTGGCGATTTTTTTGTAGAATATTGAATTTTCCTATAATAAATTTAAACACTCCAAACTGATACTTAACATGTTTAACCATAACCCATAACAGAGGGATTTACATTTCAATGGTGGAAACAACACCCATTACACACTGCTGTTTACTAGTGGTGGGCGTTTGAATTGCACCACAAGAAAAGAAAATACACAAATGTTTCCATGTAATGTCTTCCAAAAATTAGATATGCGACTTTTTAATATCGATACATTTTTGCAAGAAAAAAATATCACGATATATTGTGATATTGATATTTTCAATGCACAGCTTTTGAATATCGTTATAATATTGCTGAGGAAAATATCACGATATATTGCCATAATCGACATTTTCTTACATCCCTATAAATAATCGACTCTCACTCCTGTGCTGTTCTTTAAGTGTCATGGCTGTTGCCATTTACAGATCAGCATCAGAAGATTCTACACATCAGTGATCCCCAACTCTCTTCCCTGAGGGCCCGTATCAAGCACGTTTCACAGGTTTCCCTGCTTCACACCTGATTTTAATCACCAAGTGATTAACAGGTTTCTGCAGAGCTTGATGAGCTGCTGAACAGGTGAATCAAGTGTGCTGGATTAGGGACACAACTTAAACATGCTGGATAGTTGCCCTCGGGGAAGGGAGTTGGGGATCACTGATTTCCGTGTCAAGCGCATACATGTCATTCACTATAAGTTGGCAAGTACATTAACACATTTCACTCTAAGATAGAGTTAATGGTAATTGAAAAAGTAACTTGAGACATTTTCATAGAAAACTTTTTCTAAATCACCATTAGCATTGATAGCTCACTGGTGTCAAACTCAGGCCCTTGAGCCAAATCTGGCCTGTGGTCTCTTTATATTTAGCCCATGAGATCATATTAAAAATATTTTGGAACTGGCCCATCGGCATATTTGCAGCAAAACTACAAATCCTATAGGGCTTTGTGGCCTGAGCGCGTCATTCAAAGTGTTCCCTCTTTTCTATTTACAGTCATTGGTTTCAATGCTACGAGTTTTGCCATCTTTAGCCATTCCCTCCTCAGTCTCGAACAAACTGAAAATGCTCCTCTGACTCGGCACTGACTTTACTCAGCGATTTGATGACTTTGAAGCCCAGAAATGGAGACTTCAACTGCTCAGTAATATGTTCATGGCTTATGTAGAAAGAACACAAACCAACCTCCAGATGAAGCCGATTGAACTCCAGTGTAGTGACATGCTCAAGTCAGAGTATGAGTCTGTGGCTGCCGGAGGTTTCATCTTTCCTCCCTAACACGCTGACCCAACTTTGTCCATATGAGAGCAACAGTTTTCTTTGAAGATGACCAAAACAACACAGGAGTCTCACTAATGAACACTTTCCTATTTTCTTTCAAGTAATTGAATTTTGTTTTAGCTTCTTTCTCTTGTTTCTTTTCTCTCAGATCAGTTTTTTTTTTTTTTTAGAATGTGGATAATGGAACAGCGGCTCCACACCGCACGCTTTGTTTACTCCAGGAAATAGCTGATCGCTGGGATGCCAGCTAGTTTTACTAGACCCACAGACGTACCAAGTGAAATCTAGAAGAGAACTCCCTGTGAATGCGGAGGTCGAGGTCAAAAGAGGAGGACGAGGGAAACGGCGAGACAGCAGAGACTCAGATGATGGCGGATTTTTAAACCGTGTCTCCCTTCCATTATAATAGGGAACGTCAGGTCACTGCAAAATAAAATGGATGCGCTTGCGGTGCTGACCCAGAATCAACTAGCCTGGCAAGCCATCCTGTATATGTGGATATAAAACCTTAGCAAAGCAAGACCTTGGTCTAGTTCACTAGGCTAAGAATCAGCAGGAGTATCACAATTGTAGTCTGATCTGCTTCATGGAAACATGGACACATGCACATATTCCTGATGACAACATTTATATCGATGTCTTTCATGTGGTTCGGGCAGACCTAGACTACATCACAAACGGCAAGCAGAAAGGAAGGGGGCTTGTTAACAAATGGTGTAATCCGGCTCATATTCACATCAAAGTGCAGATTTGTTGCCCTGACAGTGAACTGTGCAGCTGGTCTCGGGCCATATTATTTCCTCAGGGAATTTGCCCGCGTCATCTTGGTGGCAGTGTACATTTCCCCTTCTGCTAATCCCAGTTGATATCATTCACTCAACAGTGGCTTGGTTACAGACCCAGCACCAAAGTGCCTTTTTTTTTTGCCATCTCCGGGGATTTTAATCATGCCACAACGCTTAAACAATACATGAACTGTCCAACTAGAGGAGAGAGAACTTGCTAATGTCAAGAATGCAAACAGTTCCTCCCCTCTTTCCCAACTCGGGAGATCCGACCACAATCTGGTTCACATCACTTCCGGATATTATGCCGATGGTGAAAAGGCTACTTGTACTCCCTAAAAAGATTAGGAGGTGGTCCGAGGAGACTATGGCGACACTACAGGGGTGCTTGAAGGCAACTGATTGGCAGGTCCTATGTGAGCCTCAGAGGGAGTACATCGACAGGCTCACTGTATGCATTACTGACTATATTAAAGAGCATATTGCAGGTTAGAGACTCCCATGAACCAATGTTTAGTGAAATGTAATAGAAACTCGTTTTAAACTTTTTTTTTTTACACAAACATAAATTATTTAGTCTTTTAGGGTCATTTTTGTGAGTTTTTTTTTTTTTTTTTGCCAAACCAAGTAACGTCATCTGAAGGAGTCCTGTTGGCTTAATCCAGTGAAAAATATGGATTATAATGCCAGCTCTGACACAGAGGAACCTTTAAATGTTTACAATTATACTCATGATGGACCAAAACCATAAAGTCGTGAGTTAGGCTGCACGCCCCAGAGAGCAGAGACAAACCAGAGGGAGAAACCATCGACCAAAGCAGAGAGATTAAGGAGGAGCTGTAGCGGGCGAGCAGCAGGTGTCTGGTGTTAACCATGTTAGCTTAAACTCGTGCGCTAACATCACAATATTGTACTATCGTGTACTAGACAATTAAAATAGTATTGGTCGGTTAATTTAATATTAATACTAATGAGCGTCTGTCAGCGGTCTCATACTCGCTAATATCCATTCATGTATTGTAGTTTAGCGCTTAGAGAGAGGAAGAGCGACGCCTGTCATCCAGTTCTGGAGCTCATACGGGCTTCTGTGAGCTGGATCTGACCCAAACACGAGCGAGACAGTCGAGCTGGTATTTTTAAAAGCCGCACATCCTCTCCTGGTGGTCCAGGCGGCGGTTCTGATCCGGTTCCAACCCGGAAAACAGCTGGCCCGCTGAGCCGCGCATCTCTTCTGGTGGTCCGTTCTGACCTGGTTCTGATGGTGTTCTGGATTACCTCACAGGCAGGCCACGGTATGTGCACCTTCAGAACTGTGTATCAAACAGCAGTCGGCAACATTGGGGCTCCACAAGGGACTGTTCTCTCCCCCTTCCTCTTCACCCTGTATACCACTGACCACGTACTGTAATGAAAGCTGTCACTGTCAGAAGTTTTCTGATGATTCTGCAGTCGTGGGCTGTATTACTGGGGGTGAGGAGACAGATTATCAGGCAGCAATGGACTCCTTTGTCAAATGGTTTGAGCAGAATCATCTGCTGCTCAGTGTGACGAGGACTAAGGAGCTCATTGTTGACTTTAGGAAGACAAGATCACCAGTGACTTCAGTTTCCATTCATGAAGTTGCTGTGGACATAGTGGAGAATTACAAATACCTGGGACTGCACATTGACGATACACTTGATTGGACCAATACAGATGTACTTTACAGGAAGGGCCAGACTTGTCTCTTTTTTTCTGAGGAAGCTGAGGTCATTTAATATCTGCCGGTCCGTGCTCAGGGTGTTTTATGAGTGTGTGGTAGAGAGTGTCATCCTTTAAGCTGCTGCATGCTGAGGCAGCAAGGTAAAAATGGCAAATAAGAACAAACTCAACAAGCTGATACAAAAGGCTGGCAGTGTTGTTGAAATGGAGTTGAACTTGCTGCGAGCGGTGACAGAGAAACGAATGTTGCACAAAATCAGGGCCATCGTGGACAACAATTTTCAATGACTTCATGATGGGCTCGCCAGTTGAAGGAGCGCGTTTAGTGGGAGACTGCGAACTGTTGGGTGCGCCACTGAGCAATATTAAAAATCACTTCTGCCTGCTGCAAATCGCATGTTCAATTCCTGTTAGTTTATGCACCATTGCAGAATATGGAGTAGGACATTGTTTTAGATTGTGGATTGTATTGTAATTATTGCATTGATGACGGGTTGGGGACTGTTTTAATCTGCTCATTTATCCTATTGTCTGGAGCTCCCTGTCTGGAGTCTATATTGTGGTTTTGATGCATGTTTTCTTCTCCAAAGCATGAATGTTAATAGCTGGAATATTGCATTTTCATAGAAAGAAATATTTTTTTTTATTTTTGGTGTTGGCCTGTTACAAAGGACATAACATACAGTAAAACAGGAACTGGAAACACTACAGATGGAATAAAAAACCTCTTTCGTATCCCCCGGTGAGGAAGTTTTGGTGTCAGCAGCGATTCCATTCAGTACAGGAGCAAAAATAGGAGAGCAAAAAATCAGATTAAAGAGTAAACAACAAGAAAACAAATAATAATATGAGATTCAAAATACTCCGATTAGTTTAAGCTATCTTTTAGCACCCTCTCGTGTTAAGTTTCACTTTTCTCCTCAGTGTGCAGTCATCTTTTTAACAAAAATGAAAATGTTTTCAGCTTTAGTCCTATTTTTGTTATATTGTTTGGAAAAATGATCATAGCACTATTACTTGACAGGTTTTATATTAAATGACATTTAAAGATTATATAGTTTTAGTTAATTTAAGACTAAATAGTTTAACACTTAAAAAATTGACATTGCTGCTTAGGCTCTGGCCAGGGCACAGAAACTGAACAGGAACAAGTTAGCTGGTCTTGTGTACGTTACACTTATCCATTATAAAAAATAATTATTAATAAAATATCTGATTAGTTACTAATCTTAATGTTTTGTTTAGTTTGAGTTTCAAAACAGGAATCTCACTTTTTCTTGTACCATTCTTTTATAATATGTATCAATAATGTCAACTTGTGAATGCAATGCATGTTAATGTAGTAAGTACGTCATTTTTTAACATGGAAAGTATACACACATGTCAATTTGAGTCAGTCGTGTGGCGGTAGCTCTTCTGTACTCTCATTGTGTAGAAGTAGCTCACTGTCTCTATGTTGGAGAGCCTGCTGTAAAGGGTCATTTTTGCACATAACAGCTCAAGAAAATGCGTTCAAAATATAAAAAAATTGCATGGTATGCCTCTAAGGAATAAAATGTTGATGAAATTGAGACATAAATACTAATGTGTATTTTATTTGATGTAAAATTTACTTGCTTGTGTGTAATTTGGTTATTCCAGATTCAGTGTTTATGTAAAATTACATTTGTTTTCAAAGGAAAAAGTTTAAAAAATTACATAGCTGTAGATGTGCACATTTTATGTCAATTTTTCAATAAATATTGAGTTTGGCTTACGACTTTGTCCCAGTTTTTCATGTTGGCCCACTGTGAATTTGAGTTTGACACCCCTGATGTACAGTTATTTACCCCTGATGTACAGGTATTTACCCCTGATGTACAGGTATTATGGTTAGGGCAGTGCTTCTCAATAAGAAGCCTGTCTACTACTTTCGGACCGTTAGGCCCCTACTGCTAAAGATAATGAATGGAAGTCTAAAGACTCTTCCACTCCGTGCAGTCGGCCCCAGCCTGGTCAGGTTGTTTACACACACCCTTCCACACATCCTTAGGAAAGCGGATGTGACTGAGCATAAGGGCAATCTCTAAAATTGGCGTGCAGGTATCACTGATGTCATGAGCACATGGGCGGGGCAAAAGACATGGAGAAGTCTGCGGTGTTTCCCTTAAACAAAGGCAGCCTTGAGCAGTGTTGGGCCCAATCTCAATACTCGCCCTGCGGTCTTCAGCAAAGTGCACTTGGAGAAAGTGCGCAATAGGGTTCGACTGCGTAGTACACAAGTGTGCAAATAATTGCCGAATTGAGAGAGGGAGCGTTGCGTCATCAATCGCTACCAGGATGCTGGTCGCAGTGAAACTTTTTCATACATATTTTCAGAAAAGGAACTTGAGCCTTTTCTCCCGCAGCAATAACTTGTGGGTAATTCCCTTGCCCGAGGTCTGCAATGCTGCGGACTTGGGTGAAGTGCAGATTAAGGGTGCAATGGGGGCGTGGTCAACTTCCGCATTTGAGAATCGGGACACCCTGTGCACTCGCACCCCTGGCCGGGAACGCGCAATTGAAGGGCACGAGGGTGCAAGTGTGAGTATTGAGATTGGGCCTTGCTTTTGGAGACGCCTTACTCTGCTGTGTCTGTCCTGGCACAGCACTGTGTGTGTGTGTGTGTGTGTGTGCTCCTCCGAGACACAGAAAAAGAGACTGCTTCAGTCTGAGGCATGGTTTACTTCTCAGTAATCAGAATGATAATGAATCACACATGCGGGACGCCCCTGCTGGATGATTCTACCCACAAATCAAAGTCTCACCCTATGGGTAGGTGCGAATTTGAGCAGGCCAGTCAGTTAGCAGTGGGTGTGTTGGACCAGTTCAGCTCAAAACAGACCGCCTCTGCAAGAGGGCTGAAAAAACGACTAGTTGACCACAGAAAAAGTCCAGGCTATGCAGATGTGAACACTCCCTTGCCCTACCGCAGTGGTACTCAATAGGCAGCCCGCGGTACGCGTCCGGCCCGGGATCCCCCTCCTTGTGGTCCCCAGACCACCAGCATCCCCCT